AGAGAAGTAGAGAGTGCAGGGGAGAGACGATTGGTGTCAGAGTTGGTAAAGATGGTGGAGGAGGAGGCATGTCTGACCTCTGCCTCATAGGAACCAGCCTTGGGCAGTTGATCTTCATTCTCCTTCCCCCTTGTAAAGTTAGAGGAAGTCAGACACCACCCCATGCCATTTTTACACTAACTCTGAATCAGATGCTCTGTCATCTACATAGTCTATATCGTTAGGTAAAGTTGACCTAACTTGAATCTTTTCCTACTGTAGCTTTTTGAGCAGTCTTATCAGTGAATTCCGAAAAACCCGTTGCCATCCAGTTGATTCCGACTCATGGTAACCTTTTAGGACAGAGTAGAACTGCCCCATAGGGTTTCCAAGGCTATAATCTTTACAGAGGCAGACTGCCACATCTTTCTTCCACAGAGCAGCTGGTGGGTTCAAACCACTGACCTTTCGGTTAGCAGCCAAGTGCTTAACCACTGCACCACCAGGGCCCCTTATCAATGAATTGCTGCCTTTTAAACAGCTCTGATTTATTTATTTTCCTAGTCTTCAGGGTTAGGTGAAAACACTGAACTTGACACTGAAGGGTGCTAGAAAAGGGCTGTACTATTTTATGTATTTTGTTATATAGCAAATACAGAACATTTGCTGTGTACCAAACACTGGTTTAAGTGCTTTGTAAATACTACATAATTAATCCTCATAACAATCCTTTGAGGGTGGGTACTATTATTTTCCCATTTTATAGTAAGGAAAACTGTGGCACAAAGGCTAATTGACTTGGCAGGAGTCACACAGCCAGTAAGCAGCAGAGAAGTGTAGTAGAAACAGAATATACTATTTTATTCTGTAGATACTAGCCAAGCTGTCTGCAACTGGCATTGCTTTACAAATTGGAGATCTGGCTAAGAAATGTTGCTGATGGAGATTAGGGACAGTTGAGGTCAGCTGTCTTTAGATTGCTCCTGAGGCTCTTCATTAAATGGTAAAGAAACTCCTACAAGGAAAATTAGTATTTTGAGGATGAAGTGGGGATAGTTCCCAGTTCCCCTTACCTTAAAGTAGCACTCATACAAACAGGTCTAAGAGATGCTTGTAACTAAGCAGCAGTCGAGACCCATCTGATTCCTTTTAAATAATGTTGCATTCTTAAAGCTTTGTAAGGTGACCTTCCACCCTTTTCTTTCTGCCCCTCTCCCCACCCCCCACCCACCCCCC